TGAGGCTCTCTTGAATGGCAACGAAGGATCACGGCAGCTTCTTCATGATCGAGGAAAAACAATGCTTGAGCAATCTTATGTAACGACGGGCTTGTGATTTTTTTTTTTTAGCTTTAGATTTTAGCGAGTGTGAAAATAAAAGAAGTGAAGAGAAGTAGCGCGATTGATTCACTTGATGATCTAATCTTTTCTTCGTCATTCCGTAATCTTTTATTTGAACAGGATTTTTCTCTTTTCTTAACCACCAATGACCCTGAAAAAAGAAAAAAAGAATTATCATAAATTGAACAAATGAGAATTTGTTATAACGAGAAAAAATACGAATTAAAATTCGTGGTGAAGAGATGATACGCATCGAGGTACGATTTTTTTTCTTTTAAGAGAGAACGTTGATTCGAGTTTTTAAGAGAAGCGTCACGGGGGGGTCGGGTAAACAGCGATTTACGATAAGTGGTAGATGGACGATTACACGACCGCGTGGATGCTCGTCCATTGTTTGCCAATCTCGTAGCGTTACGCCAAAAGCTGCAACCATGAATTAACGAGCACATAGACCGGAAGAGCGTGCGAGGAATGAGGCGAAATATAAAGAGAGAAGGGCGAGAAGATCGATCAAACGATCGCGCGAGAGAGACTCGCTCTTAGAGAGACTCTCGAGAGATCGAGAATCGTCGTGTCCTTCGAGGAAGAAAAGAATTTTTTTTCCGTGCGAAAGGATGAGTCGCCTCTCGCGTTCGATCGTTCGATCGTTCCTCGTGTTTACGTCCATCGTTTTCATTACGTCTCTCGAAGCGAATCCCGGGTCGAATTTCGAGCAATCGGTGGCAATGGGTGCAAGGTCGGAACCGATAACGAAAGGAGAGAACGTTTCGATTGCGACGAATAGTAACGTCGTCATGGCTACGATTCTCGAGGAGTTCGAGAGTCGTTTATCTCGCCTGGAGAGAAGACTCAGAGCGATCGAGCAACCCGGTAAGCGTGGCCATTTTTTTTTTTTTTTTTTTTTTTTTTTTTACCTCCTCTCATCGACCAGTTCTTCTTTCTTGAATCGTTGAATCAGCTACGGGAATGTCATGCGAATGGTTCATTCAGTTTGGCAGACGAGCTCCGCCGAGGGAGACTGGGAGATTTGCGCTGAAGGGCCGTGTAGATGTCAACCGGAAATAAAATTGGTGTCTTGTTGGAGACAGGATCTGTTGGATCTTCCTGCGGCGCAGCTAGTTCCTCGGGACGTGTTGAAATTGTAAGCCCTCCCTTCCATCCCTCTCCTCTTATTCTTCCTTCTTGTCGCTAACGAAAAGAAAACAAAAGAATCTGATTAGAATCGAGAGAAACCGTTGCTTTCAGGGATTTGGCTGGTAATCGACTGACAACGCTTCACAGGGATACCTTTTTGGACATGACACGGTTGAATCATCTGTGAGTAAAAAAAAAGAAGGGGAAAAAAAAAGGAATCGCAGAGCCGGTTTTACGGTTTCGCAAACGGTAGCGCTCGAGAGAATTTCTTGATGATCGTTCGTTTCAGAGATCTAAGCGACAACTCGATAGAGCATCTTCCGTTAAACTTGTTTTTCTCGTTGCACGCTGTTGCGCGCATCAGATTGAGCAAAAATTTACTCGGAGAATTGCATCGATCTCAATTCTTCAACACACGAAATCTTCGTATTCTGTGAGTGATCAAATCGATCTTTTTTTTGATTAGCATAAAAAACAAACGAGTCGAGAAAGAATCGAGAAAATTTATTTGATCATATCTATTGTTTTTTTCTTTCTTTCTTTCTTTTGATTTCTGATATTTTTTTTTTTTTTTTTACCTTTTTCTAATTAATTAAATCTTCTTCTGATGCGATGCAGAGATGCGTCTTCCAATAAGTTGCGAAATCTACCAGAGAGCCTCTTCTTGAGCACAACGTTGCTAGTATTGCTCGACCTTTCCTGTAATCGAATATCGAGCTTTTTACCGGGAATATTCCACGGGTTGACCATGCTGGAAGAGCTATTGCTTGGAAAAAATCGACTGTCGGTTCTACCTGTTGACCTGTTTAAAGACTTGACAAATCTCAAATATCTTGGTTTGGAGGAAAATCGACTGAGGGAATTACCCGATGAATTATTTCGGATGCAAACGTCACTTCGCGAGTTGAACTTCAGAAGTAATCAATTGTCGGAGATATCTGCGAGATTACTGGCGCCTCTCGAACAACTAAACTCTCTTGAAATGTCCAATAACAAGATAGCTCGAGTAAATATCGGATACGTGCGAAATGTGTACGAAAAATTCATAGAATACTTTTTGTTTTCTTTATATTAAGAAAATTGCAGTAATTTTATCTTAGATTAATTAGTATACAAATTTTATGATCACATCAATTATAGTTTACGTGTAATAATAGTTTGAATAGTCGTTTAATTCTTAACTACAATTAGTTGTCATTTTTTGGAAGAACAATGAATTAAAATAATTATTAAATTAGAAAAAATCCAAAAAATTCTTTTAATTTGATATTAATTTTCAAAAAATCGTGAAACATTTTGTATCTTATTTTAGTATAGTGAGATTATATATCGCATTAGAAACATAACCTGCCAAATCATTGGCAGGATTGTAGCAGGATCAAAATGGTGTATATTCGCATCTAATCGTGTAGGCCTAATAATAGAAAACAATTATTATTTGCAAAGTCTAGTAAAAATTACTATAATATTGCCAATATCGGAAAACAGAAAAACATTCTACATAATTTTCCGTCCACATCTCTTATTCATACATATGTATATCGTTCATTGATCTTTTTGCTTTTTTTCTTTTCGTTCGTTGATACATACGTATCGCATTACATCATAGATCAATCCGACTGCGTTTCAAGGTTTGATAGCGTTAAAGGAACTTCAACTGGGACACAATCGTTTAAGAAACTTGACGCCTGGACTGTTTTCAATGTCTACCAGTTTGGAAAGACTGGTATTATACGCAAATGGAATAGAGAATTTATTGCGCGGCACGTTCCAAGGCTTATCTAATTTGACATCTCTTTTTCTACACTCGAATCACTTGAGAATTATGCATCCCGAACTATTCCAAGATACACCGAATCTGCGAAAACTGTGAGTAAGATTAAACAATTGGTAAGTAAGAAATAATTAATAATCAGGAAAGTGGAATAATTAATAATTGTCAGCAGGCAGCTAGAATCGAATTATTTGTCGTCGTTGCCGCCTCGAATTTTAGATGCCGTAGAATTAATCGAACAACTTCGTCTCGCTAGAAACCCATGGCACTGCGATTGTGCTGCCTCCTATCTAGCTACATGGTTGCAAAGAATGTACCTAACGCGGGTAAATGACACAAACTCGTCCGAGAATTTGGGCATTTGGGAATTTGGTGCAGGAGCAGTTTGTAGAGGTCCCGGTACTCTCGGTGGCAGACTGTTGCTTCGTTTAACGTTTCACGAACTCTGTGAAGGACAATGGGCTTCAATGAAGGGTTTGGTTCCTCGACTTCCGATAGATCTCATCAGTGGTCGAAACGTCGTTTCTACTGATAATCCTTTCTCGCGAAACGAGTCCGTTTTAACGCCTAACCTCTCTCGTTCCACCATTCCTTCACAAAGATAACGTCTCGATATATTTTTTTCTATACATTCGCCGTTATCAGAAATTAAACTTTTATATTCGAGTTTAATATAGGAATAATCCCTTCTCATATCCTTAGTATTTTTTTTTTATTTTTGTTATCATAACACTTGTTACTCCTACATACTTGTGTACTCTATCATACGATTTTATCGACCGTATCTCGTATTGCATTTCTACGACTCATCGACCCATTTGACCGTATTCGTCTGACTGATTGCGCGACGCGAAAATTTCCGGTCGATATCTCGTCTATCACAAATACGCGGTCAACATTGGTATCGCGTGTTATGCTTGCAATGATTTCGATCTTCCGCGTCCAGCAAGTGGCTGATCAAATAAACAACAACGAATGGAAGAACGAAAATTAAAGCGTGGGGGGAATGGCGTTGTCTCGATATCGTTGATCTAACCAAGAGTAAGGATTTAGTTTACGACACGCAATGGACGCTTCGTCATCTACGAAGGCAACGATCGAGCTGTTCAAACAATTGCTCGAAATTCTCGAGGAAGAAAATGCGTTCGATCGTACGGGCAACGAACCACTCGTACGATTTGTTCATCCGGATGAATTGCAAGTGAGTTATGATTTAATTCCATACTTTACGAGCATTTATTCGTTCATTTCGAACATTTATTCATTACTTTTCGTTTTGCAGGAACGTTTACCAATTAAACTGACCGAGGAACCAGCTGATAAAAATGAAATCGAAAATGCGATCCGACAAACGATTCGATACTCCGTCAAAACGTACAGTCCACACTTTCATAATCAACTCTACGCTGGCGTTGACGAATATGGCCTAGTTGGATCTTGGTTGACGGATATGTTTAATACAAGCCAGTAAGTTTTCTTTGATATGCTTTTTCTTTATAAAAAAAGAGAAGAAACGATACGATACACATTTAATTCATATCGTTAGATACACGTACGAGGTAGCTCCTGTATTTACTTTGATGGAACGACAAGTGATAGAAAAAACTTTGGAATTGATCGGATATCCGTCCATGCCGGACGGAGATGGAATTCTTTGTCCTGGCGGTAGTATCTCTAACATGTATGGTATGGTGCTAGCTAGATATAAAATGATTCCTGATGTGAAGAAGAAAGGTCTCGCTGGACTTCCACCGCTCGTTTGTTTTACCAGCGAGGCTGGCCATTATTCAATCTCGAAAGGAGCTCATTGGTTAGGTTTAGGAACTGATCATGTTTACAAGGTAAAAAAAAAGCATTAATTTTTATCAACATTTGTTTTGCATTTTCATCTGTTAATAAAAGTTATTCGCATAGATAAAGTGCGACGAATTGGGACGTATGCGACCGGACGAGTTGAAAGCTGCCATAGCGGAAGCCAGAAGACAAGGTCACTTACCATTCTTCGTGAATGCCACCTGCGGCACTACAGTTCTCGGGTCTTTTGATCCATTGCCGGATATCGCAGCTATCTGTCGTGAGGAAAATTTATGGTTACATGTTGACGTTCGTACAAATATGATAATACAAAGACAATAAAAGATTTTCAATTATAATTCAATTTTCTTCATTATAGGCATGTCTCGGTGGCACGTTATTGTTTTCGGAAAAGTATCGAAATAGATTAAAAGGAATCGAACTGTACGTAGTAATTCTATTTTACAGATTCATTATTTTAAATCTTCATATATTCTAATAATTGGTTTTTTTGATATAGATCCAACTCCGTGGCGTGGAATCCTCACAAGACACTTGGTGCTCCATTGCAATGCTCATTGTTTCTGGTCAAGGGTAAAAATATTTTACACGAGACAAATTGCGCGGGAGCAAAGTATCTGTTTCAACAAGACAAACATTATGATGTATCTTGGGACACGGGTGACAAAAGTTTGCAATGTGGAAGAAAGGTGATGATTTTATGAAGTTAGTTGATAAATTTAAAGCAAAGGTTTTCGTTTTCTCGATATGACAACAATCCTTTTTGTCGTAGGTCGATGGAGCCAAGTTTTGGCTGATGTGGAAAGCACGTGGGACCAAAGGGCTTCGCGAATCCGTGGAACTTGCTATATCAGCTGTTGAATACTTTATCGATCGAATTCGAAATCGTAGCGGATTTCGCTTGGTACTTCCTCAATACGAAGGTTGTAACGTTTGTTTTTGGTAAGTTATTTTTTCTTTTACATCGATACGGTGTTCTATTGCTTTTGTAACTACAATTGCTCTTTGTTTCGATTCGTAATAGGTATATACCACCGAGCATGCGAGATCAACCAGAAACTGAAGAATGGTGGGACAAATTATACGAGATTGCACCTAAAATTAAGGAACGTATGATGATGAATGGAACGCTAATGATCGGATATATGCCACTATCCTTTAAAAAAATTGGAAACTTTTTCCGTATGGTGATCAACTGTCAACCACCACCGAGTAAAGCTTCAATGGATTACGTAATCAACAAGATCGAAGAATTGGCCATTGATTTGTAAACATTAATTTGGATTAACGTCTACACGCTCTCACCGAGTAAATAAGAAAGAAAGATCAGGAGAAAATGAATTCGCCCGGGTAATTTATTATTTCGAGCTCATCTCGTTTTTCCTTTTATTATAATCGCGTGATACTATGCCACGGCAAGTGAAGCGTTTATAAAATTCGTCGACTCGAAATAATTCGAATCAAATTCCCGGCTAAATCGAGTCTTAAAAGCTTGGTCATCTTTTTTTTTTACGCGCGTATAAACATTTTTATCTTCCTACTCTCTTTCATTTTCGATTATTACTTCTTTTCGCGCATAACTTGACACATAACCGCGACTCAATGTGAGCCAATAATAAAAAATGCGCAAATCACACACGCTCTATATTTGCATGAATGCACATACGCACAATTATGAATTCACACATCTCTCATTCACATCTTGATCGCATTTAAATGCACACACATGTAATAGGTACAATTCGATACGTTACACGCCCGTTCTTTATCGTTCGTCTTTAACGATATTGTGAAATGATGCAAGCGTTCGTCGTAACGATGGCACTGAATCATATGACGAAGACGTGTTCGTGTCTGTCACAAAATAAAAAAACTGTATACATGATAAATATCATCACTTGATTTCAAGTAAAGGCGATTTAAGTGCATTGCGCCTTTGTCCCTGGTCCGTTTAGTCTTCGGTTAAATTGATATTCAAGCACGCGCCAAATAGATAATCATTTATTATTTAAAAAGCGCCGTGCTTGCTTCACGCCTTCATGGCGATATTTCTTCATAGATATTAATCTCGCGTGCAGTTTACTCGAAACGCGGAAATCATTAGATGACGAAATAAATTTATACATTTCTTCATGCGTATTGCACATTGATCGACGTTCAATAGTACTTGTCTTGATCCGGATCGACTCGAATATGTTGCTGCCCATGACTGTTGCGCTTCAATGTAGCAGACTCGTAATCAAGACTCTTTGGATATAATTTAGGACTTCCAAGAGTATTCACATTTGGATTATTCTTTCCACGAAGAGTTCCGTTACCGTTTGTACTACCAGAGAAGCTAGGTTGTCGCTTGGTGTTTACCTATATCG